CAAATGAAAAGAGAAGACACTCCAAACGTGTTCTCTAAGCCTTCTAAAAAACATGGAGTCCTTTCTTTAGTCACGTATATGTGAATCTTCAAGAAAGGTGATATGTAGACATCAAGGGAATGGGTACTGTTCAAAAGGAATGCCCTGGGGCTAGCAGGTAGCATGGTGGTTGTTAAGTTAAACTCTTTTGGCCTAAAACAGCTGCTGTACACCCACACTTGGATTCCTACGAACAGGTCTGGTAGGCTGTTTTTCTACATTGGTTGTTAGGTTACAGTCAATCATAGGCATCCCGCCTTTTAAACCGTGTCAATGCAGACAATCCTCTGTATATAACCAATAATTGCTTTACCTCACTGCCTCGCTTAGGGTTTTTTGGATGACACTTCCCCTTTCACTGCATTACGTCACTTTCCTGTTCCACCAGCTTAAACGCCGAGTTGACCACAAGGCTGGCCAGAGTTATCTGGAAGTCCAGGGACAACTGCTCAATTTAAATCATATTAAAATTTGCTCCTGTTAAATTGGCTGATTTATTTTTCTTTTAACATGGTTAAGGTGCTGCACTCCCACATGGCTGACCACAGTTTGAATCCTGGACCCAGTGGCTTTAAAATCATATCAAGCACATGTGCATGAGTGCCCACAATCCTGAGAGGAGAATGGAGAAGAAAAGATAGTGGCATAGTCATCCCCCTTGGGGTGATTTCTCACTTTCTTTATCTCTCTGACAAATGCATGTACCCTATGACAAAAATCTAAAGAGAATGCCCCACAAATGTCACCATGGGAAAACTGGAAGAGTTTACAGTGTTACCAAGCATGCTTTAGGCATTGTTGTGAACAAATAAGTTAAGGGCAAGATTCTTGCCTAGAGAATTAATGTGCGTGTAGAGCATATTAAGCATTCTAAGAGCAGAGATCGCTTCCTAAAACGTGTGAAGGAAAATGACCAGAAAATGAAGGAAGCCAAAGAGAGAGGTACCTGGGTTCAAGCGCCAGCCTGCTCCACCCAGAGAAGCACGCTCTGTGAGAACCAATGGGAAGGAGCCTGAGCTGCTAGAGCCTGTTTCCGATGAATTCATGGCATAATAGGTGTTAAAATAAATAAATAAACTCTGGACTGTAAAATTGTTTTTCTTAAATGAGTAGAGTAAGTGGTATCTCCTCCCCCAAAGCAAATTTCAATTGGGCTATAATTCATTTTGTAATGTCTTTATCCTAATTTAGTAGTTTTTCTAACCGAAGGATGTAAGGTGATTTATCAAGCAACAAATAAAACTCAATTGGTTAGGGAAAATAGTGAACCCTTTTGGAATCCTATGCCCCCCTCATCCTCTTTTTGTTTGTTTGTTTGTTTTGTTTCTTGAGGTTTTTTGCTGGAGGGCACATGTACTTGTCAGGCAGATTGAGGGAAAAGGAGAAAGCACCTGCCACCGGAAACAGTCACACCACAGTCCCTTCTCCATCTCTCCCCTGCCAGGGGAGTTTAAGCCACCGGGTCCAGGACTCAAACCGTGGTCAATTACGTGGGAGTCCAGCAACATAGCCATTACACCAACTGCTGGTCCCCCAAGTCTAGGACTCGAACCGCACAGTCAGCCTTGTAGGATCTGGTTGCCATAACTGTCAGGCTACAGAGCTGGCCCTTTCCTTTCTGTAAAATGAGGGGTAAGGGCCAACTCTGTAGCACACCAGCGTGTTTTTCAAGCTGCCGAGTCCAAGACTCAAACTGTTCAGTCAACCATGTGGGATCCAACTGCCTTAACCACCATACCACCAGCTGGCCCCTTATCTCAACCTCACCGCTGTTAAAGGAGCTAATCTTAGTGAACAAGTCACTCTGCCTCAACCTTGAAAAGCCATCAGTGGGGTTTGTGGGGTTTCTGGGATGGGAAATTGAGGCCCTGGGTGGAATGTAATTTCACTTCATAGGAATTTTAGAAGGGCCAGTTGTAGCTCTCTTGGCTTCACTATGACATCCACGTTTTGACTTCACAGATTGGTTTGCAATGTTAGAAAATATATCTCTTTGGAGATAAAATTGCGTTTCCTTATCTGTGTACACGTGGTGAACATTGATCTGATTGACAAGCAACACAAAGGTGATGATTTTATGCAAATAGGACCTTAATGGTTAAAGTTTATATAAATAAATATCATAGGCAAAACAAGTGCATGTTATGTCTAAACTAGCACCTTTTGACTAGAATTTCTTCCCTTTTTTTCCTTCTCTCCTCTGCAGTATATAGTAGAATGTCATGGGGTCACCCTTCTTCCCCAGTTCTTGGGCATGTACCGGCTTAATGTTGATGGAGTTGAAATATACGTGATTGTGACAAGAAATGTGTTCAGCCACCGTTTATCTGTATATAGGAAATACGACTTAAAGGTGAGATTGACTTTTATTCATTTTCATTAAGTAACCGAAGCTTACTCACCCACAGTGTGAATGTTGCCACTGATCATATAAAATACTCGGGAGGTGCTCCGAGATTAAACCCACCAGGCCAGGAGCAGTGCGCGCCTACATGTTGAGTACTCAGCGCTTGCCGGCTTTACCAAAGGACACTTGCCCGCACCAGGCGTGTCTCATCTGCTCATTCAGCACCAACCACATCTGCGTGATGGACAAAGCAGACCAAACCTGCACGCGGGCACTGGCCTTCTGGGGGGAGAGACAGGCAGTAATGGAGACAAGCAAGTCACGTAGTACACGAGGACGTGGTCAGTACCGCAGACAGAAGTGGAGGGGGGCTGCAGTGTGCGTAGGAGGTCAAGGCAGGTTTCCCTGAGAAGCTGACACCTGAACAAGCGCGGATGAGCTGATGGAAGAAGCTTCCTGCGGGGGGGCACCACAGCACAAAAACCCAAAGACTAGAGTGAGAGAGGACACTGAAAATCGTGAGAGGAGTGACACAATCTGACTTCTAGCATCACTGTCCCTGGGGAAGGATGTCCACGTTAGGAGTTGGCGGGCTGTGACCTGCCTACGTGCCAGATCCAACTTGGGGACCATTTTTATAAGTGCCGTATTGGTGTGCCAGTTATTGCTGTGGCTGTCTTTCCGTATGAGCACAGAGTTGAATAGTTACCAAAAACATCATTCTGGACCGCTAAGCCCCAAACATTTACCCTTTGGCTCTTTTCAGAATAAATTTATAAACCTCTGATCACATTAGTTGTTTCTTAAGGTTTTTCATCTCAGGACTTTTTTATACTCTTTTAAAAGAGGACCTCCCCAAAAAGGTTTTGCTTATGTAGTTTGAGTCTGTGGCTATTTACAGTATTAGAAATGAATATGAGGAATACTGAAATATTTCATTGAAAATAATGATAAATGCATTACATGTTAACATTTTTATGAAAAACTACTGTCTTTTCTAAAAGCAAAAAATTAGTGAGACAAGTAGCATTGTTTTACATTTTTTACAAATCTCTTCAGTATCTGACTTAATGTAAGACAGTTGGAATGGCATGTCTGACTCTGCTGTCAGTCTGTTGCAATGTTATTTGGTTGAAATAAAAGAAAAAAATCTGATCTTACATAAATAACATAGAAGTGTTTTAGAAAGAGACGTTTTAGTAACTTTTTCAGATAATTATAGATATTCTTCTCTTACACTACATCAAAACTCGACAAGAGATCATTTCTCAAAGTTTAGTGTACATCACAGAACCTGAAATCATATCAGTGAGCGTTTTGTACCTTCTTCATTACAACCCCTTGGTCTGTTTGCATGCGTTGGTCTGAGTGTGTGATTTTGTAAAGTCATACTCTTGTCATTTGGAACATAGTGGTCCACTGAGTTATTTGACTCTTACAAATGTCAACACATTTTTATTGTACAGCACCAAAGAAATCACATTAATATCTCCCAAGTTCTCACCAGAAAACTCTTTTAAGTCTTAGGAAACTATCAAGCTCAGGGTAGCAGATGCAAGTATTCCAAAATCCTAATTTTCACTTGGAAGTTCAACTCTTGTCATTGGCAGCAAGTCCCGTCATTGTCCGTGAAGTGACAATGTGTAGCCCTGTCCCCCAACACACAGCCGAGCCTAGCAGCTCTGTTCAGTTTTGAGCAGATATCTGCCAGGTGCTCCAACCTGAGTAAACATAGCTTGTCAGATGTTTTATTCAAGTGAAAATGCTGCCTCATGACAAAGGGGGCTAGTTCAGCTCATAATTCACTATCCCAAAATGGTGCTTGAGAAACCATTCTTTCCCTTTAAGCAAAACTGCTTAATGCATTCTTTCTACCAAAAATATTGCAAAGACGTGGACTCCACGGTTAAGATTCCGCAAAATTGGGTCAGCCTCATAGCACAGTGGTCAAGTTCCATGTAGAAAGAGCTGGATCCCACATGGCCCACCAGGGTTTACTCACCAGGCATACAGGTGTCCAGGATCCTGATGGAATGGAGAACTGAAGGGAAAGGATCATGGCATAGACCAAGCCTCCTTTCTCCTTCCTTCTCTGTCTTTCTCTCTCTCTTGCACACACATGCACACATAATGAAAGAAAAATAAAATAATTATATTGCTTCATCAAGCAATAAATGAATCATTTTTTCATGTGTTTTTTAGATGCTTGTATGAGGCCCTATCTTACGCTCATAGAGATTCAGCAATATGAATACAAGTTATAGAACTAGGACATGTAGCTTCAGAGGTCACTCAGAAATGATGTGAGATTTTGGGGTTTAGTTTCGTCACAAATACTATTAGTACCCTTTGTGTGACTGCGCAATTTGTGCTAAGTTACCAGCAGTTTTATCCATCATTGCTTTTGTAATGCAAATATCAAGGCAATGGAAAATACAAATAATGTTTTATATGATTATTTCTTAATAATTTTATTTATTTTTAAAATTTTCCATAGGGCACATGGACTCATGAGAGAGAGAGAGAACATAAGAAAGCAATCTGTCAGGCCCAGGATCAAACCATGTTCAGCCACGTGGCAGCCCAGTGCCTTAAACACCATGCCACCTGCTGGCCTGATGTCTCATATTATTTTTAAAGTAGTTTGGCTTTGCTGGTCCCTGAAAGAGTATTGTAATCCCAGGGTTCTGGAGCACACTTGGAGAATTTCTGGTCTAAGTGAAGTGGTCTAGACTTGTCTCTTTACCTCTGAAGTCCAGAGAAACGGGATGGGCTTCCCACACACAGCCTTGTTCTGTCCCATTCCAATCTCAGCTCAAGCCGTTTCATTCCCCTAGTGGCCCCTGGGAAATCGCAGCCACCTCCAGGGCTCTGGCCAACCCAGGTCATCTTTGAAGCTTTTACTGTGCTACTCAACACACTCCATAGAGTATTTCCAGACCCCATGTTCCAGTCTGACTCCCCCATGTGCCAAAGTCACAGTGACTTCAGAAGCCACGTTTAAGACTTCTGGTCCTGGTTTAAGACTTCTTAACCAGGTGTAAGTTGCTGAGCCTTTATGGTCCTCAGTTTCTTTATGCATTAAAATGGATCATTTCACCCACGTCCAGAGGGTGGTTTTAAGATTAAACTAGGCGCATGTCATGTCCCAAGTAAGGCACAGCATGTGGGACTTGCCCAGTGAATTTGTGAGTCCCATCCATTCTATTAGTGTGTTGGTGCCTTAAGGATAAGTGTTTTGCTTACTTTTTATTTATTTTTGATATTTTTAACATAGGGCACATGTGCTCGTCAAAGAGTGACAGAGAGAGGGAAAGTAAGACGTCATTTCTGGGGTGGGGGATGGCCATGCTGCAATCCTTTCTCCTCTGTTATCATCCTGAGATTTTGGGCATGCATGCACATGCACCTGGCATGATTTTCAAGCTACCACATCCAGGACTCGAACCATGGTCGGCCATGTGGGAGTCCAGCACCTTACCTACCACATCACCTGCTGGCCTACTCCTGCTTCTTTTTTAAATCTCCCTGAAATGCCTAAGATAGTGCCTCATGGAAGTAAGACATATCTTGTAAAGGTATCTTGATGCAAATTATATTTGCAGATGAGATATTATTATTTTAATTTGCCTTGGTCCCACGATTCCATCTCCCTTTTTACCTGATAGAAGTTAGTTCTATCCTTGCCGAAATGGCCAATTGTCATCATTTCACGTCTTGAACCCTTGACTTTAGCTTATTAACCTTTTCTATTTTGTTTTAATTTTTTTATTGTACATTAACTTAAACTTGGATGGCTTTTTGCCCACCAGGCTCATGATCTATATTTGCATAGAAATAAAGCTTCCCCGAGAATCAGAAGCAGCCCAAATGACACTCTGGGAGGGAAATCCTGCACGCAGACCAGCAGCTTGATAAAGGATACGGAGCAGGACGGTTTCTTCCGCTGCCCTGCAGTTTAGGCGGTGGCCAGGTGTCACAGATGTCCAAGGTTTTTGTTGTGTTTTTGTTTTACTTGGGAATAATCTTCCTTCCAAGTCAGCATGAAAAGGAAGGTGCTTGTGGCCCACATTCAGGAACCCCCAGAGGAAGGAGAGGAGACCCCGCAGGGCGGCTGCTGGAATGACTGCGGAGAGGGGCACAGTGCTCAGGGCCACCCTCAGGGCCTCCATTTGGTCAGCCTTGCGCTCCACCGACTCGTCCCCAGGTACCGTTGAGCATTACCCTGGACTGGCAGCAGAGTGGTAGTCCTGGGCTGCTGAGCACCTGGGAACAGAGAGTTGTCCCTGACAGACTGGCAGCCTGGCCCCGGCTCCCTTCCCAGCCTGCGTGTTCGTGTCTAAATTTCAGGCCACGCGTGCCTGGTCAGTGCCTGAGCTGTGGGACGAAAGTTGGGAACGACGGGAAATTTTTTATTTCTCAGCAAATGGCTAGTCTACAAGTTGCTTTCACTTTCCCTAGTCAAATAGAAATTGTTTTCATGATCGGCCGGCTCAGTTATTGGGACAATCCATGTCTGTTTAAGAGGCGGTCAGTTCGAACTTCCAGGCTGGCGGGGAAGGGACACCAGTGAATCCGCCTGTGGTCTTCCAACACTTACCTGGTGAGGAGCCCCTGCTGTGGGAGGAGCTGGGACCCGTGCCCAGAGGGAATCAACAGTCACTGTTGTATTAACATACTTCAGAACTCCCTGGGCCATTCCTTTCCCACATTTCCTTTTGAATTAAAATCTCCCAGAAACAAAGGAAAGTCTCTCTCTGCCTTGAACCTCCCTCCCTCCCTCTGACTGATCAGTCGCCCTGGACCACCACTCTGGGCCACCCAGAGCTCTGAGGCATAGCTTGAAACCCCCGTTGTCAAGTAGCAATGGCTGTGCTCACAACGGTGTTTTCTTCTCCTCTGGGCCTGTGCTCGGCACGGGGCTCGGCTCGAAGGAGGTGCAAGTGAGCGCGTGTCTCTGAGAGAATGTCCAAACCCAAGGGGTCGGACAGTGCCCACGGGGGACCGAGTGACAGTCCGGGAGGAATAAATGGTGGAAGCAGTAAGCGCTATAGGAGAGGCGGGCAGAGGGTGAGGACGTGCCCACGCCTGGAAGACATGGCCTGGAAGGAAGGCAGCAAAGGCCCCGGTGGTCACTGCCGCCAGGGTGGGCCCAGCCCCTTCAAAGGCAATAGCCAGTCCCGCCAGCTGGTGCAAGGAGAGCATGTGGTTGTGATCCCATGTTTACTCGGCCGTTGCTAGGTGACCACCAATTGTCAGGTGTTCAGATTTCCAGCAGGTGGTCAGGTGAGCATAAGGGATGGGGTCCGAGAAGAGCAGGCAGTGGACAGGAACACCCGCAGAGGGTCAGCGAGCCGGGGTCAGGGTGGAGCGGCAGCTTCCCAGCCTCGCAGGCTTTGCTCGACTGCCCCACTCGGCCCAAGGCCGTTTTGAGGTCTTGTGTGTGTGAACCCCATTGCCTCCCGTGTGCTTGTCTTTACGATTTCTTTGTGTTTCAGGGCTCTACAGTAGCCAGAGAAGCCAGTGACAAAGAGAAGGTAAGTCCCTCACCATATTTCTCACCTTCCCAGAGCAGGCTGTAACAGCCTCACGTCTGTCCTTTCTTGTCCGCCCCTGGGGCTCTACCATCCCTGCTTCTGCTGCTGCCCTTGCAAGAAACACGGTACTGAACTGCGGAGCGTTCTTCCTTTCTCGTCCCCAGGCTTCCGAATGATGCGGTAGTTATTCTCTGTGAGCGTGGTTGGAAAACACATCTCACTTGCAATGTGCCCATGCCACAAAGCCACCCCAAAACCAGCTGTCCCCAGTAGCATCATAGAAGTTCAGAGGTGGCAGGGCCTAAGCGCTTACCTTAATCTAGATTCTTTTTTTTAATGTCAGGGTCGATGCATTGGGTATTAAAGAGAGAAATAATAGTAACTACATTTGTTGAGTACAGACTCTATGGCAGGCACTGCTGTAAGTCTCACATGAATTTGGCCCTGGAACCTGTTTTATGGCAGGTGAGTCAGGTGCTGTCCTGCTTCCTCTGACAGAAGACGTGACAGACAGGTCCATTAACTGGTCCAGGGCCTCACAGTTATGGAGCAACCACGGCAGGATGTGAACCCGGTGCTCCAGCGCCCAAGGGCACGTGTCTAACCATTAGTCCTGGGTCTCCCTCTCTCCTTTCTCTTAAAGATGGATTATAAAAAATTATGGTAACTCCATCCATCATGAAAATGAATGAGACAAATGAGACAAACTTGACATCAGCAAAAACATTGTGTCAGAGTTAAATATGGTTCTAAAACAGTTCATGCTGCGTCTTGTTTCTTCCTTTTTTTTGTTTTGTTTTGTTTTGTGGAGTTTTTTGTTTCTTTGTTTTTAGTAGTGAAATAAGAGCCAGGTCTTGCAGCAGTAAGGAAACTAGACTCACGTGGGAAAGGTCTGAGGTCCACCTCTTGGGACATCCCCAAGAACGCGGTCACCTGCGTGCCTGTGACCTGGGCCGGCTGAGACTGGAGGGGGGACACAGTGCGTGCAGGGAATGCCCGTCTCTCCTCCCACCTCACCATGGAAGAAATAAATGAATACACTTATGAAAAGAAAAGTAGTGAAATAGACTATTTGGTTTCAGACTACATTGAAGCAAACAGCTGATATTTTCTTCATTTAAGTTTGAGCATTTTTGTAGATACTTCCAAGTGTACATTTTTGTACATTTTATACATCAACTCTGTCATCGTATCTTTTTTTAAAGAATTATTTATTTAATTATATTTATTCATTTATTTATTTTAATTTGGACAAAGAAAGAGAAAGTGAGAAAGCAAACCACCAGGTCTAGGACTCGAACTGTAGTCGGCCACGTGGGAGTGTCCAGCACCTTATCCACCACACCACCTGCTGGTTCCTGTCACTGAATCTTATGCTGTGTAAATACTAAAACTGTCTGTATTGGGACCAGCAGATGGCATAATGGTTACATCGCTGGACTCCCATGTAGTCAATCACGGTTTGAGCCCCAGACCCAACGACTTAAACTCATGCTGGGCATGTGTGTGTATGCTTAAAATCCCAAGAGGAGAATGGAGGATCAGGGATTGCGGCGTGGCCATCCCCTGGACAAGGGATGGTGTGTGTGTGTGTGGGGGGGGTGATTTCTCACTTCCTGTCTCTGTCTCTCCAGTGAGCACACTCTATAGCAAAAACCTCTAAAAATAAATAAATGAAAAACTGCCTTCCTAAAGAAGGAGTCAGTACTTCACACTTCTTTTCTGGAGTTGAAGTTTATGGTGGGTCTTCTTTCAAAAGGCCACCCACCCCCACTGGCCTGTGTGGTGCTCACTGGGAAGGGGGAGGGGAGATAGTCCGAGCTTTGGAATGTAAAATAGAAGTAAGTGGATGGGTGAAGGAGACTGCCTGCCTTGGCAGTCAGCAGCTTTTCTCTTTGATAACACCAGTTCGTTCATGACCTAGAAACTCTTACTAAGTTGTAATAGATTACAAAGCATGCTAGGGACAGCCAGCACAGTGGTTAAGGCGTTAGACTCTCACGGGGCTGACCATGATTGGAGGCCCAGATCTAGCAGCTTGAAAATCACACCAGGCTCATGTACGTACGTGCCCAAAATCCTGGAAAGAGAATGGATGAGAAGAGATTGTGGTGTGGCCATTCCCCAGGGGGAGACTTCTCACTTTCCCTCTCACTGTCTGTCTCTCTTTCTCTCTCCAGTGAGTGTACATATCCTAAGGCAAAAACATACAAAACCCCATGGAAACATGGAAAACCCCAAATTAATTAATTAAATAAGGTTAAAAGCATACTAAACCTTATCTTCAGAAATAAAACCATTAAATGCTATTAAAACAATTACTGATAGCTCTGGTTCAAAATATTTGAAAAAGGTTAAAGCTATTTTCTGCATTTTATAAAATGGAATCAGGTGATTTGCAAGAATGTGACTTTCATTGCTCTCATTGTGTCCCTGTTCCCTTCAAGGTGGTGGTTCTGAGCCGAGTTCAGTGACACACGTCTGAAATCCCAGCTACCCAGCAGACAGGCAGGAAAAGCAGTTCGAGGCCAGCCTAGGCAATATAGCGATGCCCCATCCTAAGGAAGGGAGGGAGGGAGGAAAGACGGAAGAAGGGAAAGAAAGGAAGAAAATTTAAGTAAGAGCGTTACCATGCAAAGAACAGTTTTCAGGGAGACTCTCCTCTCTCCATTGGCACGGCTTAGTCATCCCAGCTCTCAGTCTTCGAGTTTTTCTTTTGAATCAGTCTGTTTTCATTTCCCATACTTTTCATTTGTTGATGACAAGTTTTGAAACTGTCATTTCAAATATTTAGCAATACAGGTGCAGACAAGTTTCATCCCTTAGATTTCCGCTTGACACGTAATTAGTGTGATTTGCATTAGCATAATAATGAAGAGGAAACTGAAAGAAATAAAGAAGTTATATTCCAGCAATAATGGAATCTCTTGCAGGGCAGCAAGTATCAGAACCTGTGTGTGCAGATGCCTTAAATTTTTAGATTAAAAAAAAAAGAGCAGAACGGTCCTTTTTTTTTTTTTTCCCAAACCGTTGTCAGATTCTGACAGCTGCTATGACTTGTTTTATTCTTTAATTCTTTCGTTTTTAATGGAAGGGCATCTCCATTCATGGCTCCAGCCGTTTCACCTCCTCTAAATGAGACAGAGAAACGCGAATCTCCCCGGTGGTCGATCTTTTCACAGCTGCGCTACAATTCCAGTGTGACATCAAATTAGTAATTATAGCTGAGCGGACTGCTTTTTACAAATGACAGTCTTATCCTGCTGCCAGCTAGCAAGCTACCCAGCAGGGCGTCCGGGGGAGTAAAAGAAAACATAACTGGACTCCCTTGGTTTCTGGGGGATTTGACCTGACTCTTTAAAAAGCCCATGTTCTCGAGAGAGTCCCGGGGATTCACACAAGTATGCATTTTGTTCACCGTGCTGCATGGCTCTTCTCTCAAGTCATGTCTGATTTTATTAGTAAAGTCTGTCTAATGGAGTCATAGGGTCACGGTGAGAAGATTCCTGCTCACATGCAACCTTCTCCCTGGAACCCATTTGAAAGCAAACAGCTGCCCTGCAATTGGTATTTCTATGCCGATATTGGCAATAATCATTGTTGACACTTTGATAACGGGCTCCGCAAAAGCAGCCTTGTCAATTCTTAGGCATTGTGAATTGCACTAGCAATTAAGTGACTGTCGCCCCTCTGGCATCTTACCTATCACCGCTGAAGGTTTAGGAGAATTAATCATTAATACCCTTACATCTAAAAATGCTCTCCTGAACCAGTGTTCAGCATTGCTTTTGTGATCTTTAAATCGTAACAAATTATAATTAATTACCGCCTTGATCTGGCCCCCCAGGCTACGGCTAAGGGCAAGGTAGCAAAGTCGCAGGCCCTGAGCGGATGTACAAAAGCACAGCGGTGTGTCCTGAAAACCGCTCCCGCCTCAGTTAGAAAGTACCTCTTTTTCCACTGCAGGCAGATAATCAGTAAAGGGAGATTGGCGAGGCTTTTAGCTCAGGCCCTCATCGCTAATGCTTTAGCCTCCTCGGGTTAAAGCATTTGCCTCAGCCAGCCAGCGTCAGGGACACCTGTCCCACCACCCAACCTGCAGATGAGAAAGTGACCTGTCTGGGCAGAAGCAGGGCTTGTTACTGAGACCGTAAAAAGCAAGTGGCATAGTGGTTAAGGCCCTGGACTGCCACCTGGCCGACTACAGTTCGAGTCCCAAACCTGGCAGCTTGAAAATCAGTGGGTGCATGTGCATACGTGCCCAAAATCCGAGGAAGAGAGTGCAGAAGGGAGTGTGGTGTGGCCATCTTCACAGGGTAATTTCTCACTTTCCCTCTCACTGTCTGTCTGCCCGTCCTTGGCAAGCACATGGGGCAAAAACCTAAGGGAAAAAAAATTATTTTTTTAAGTAATGGGGTTTAGAGGTAAACAACAACAAAGTGATGGTGCTGATTGCATCATTGGCTCTCACGCTTTAGTGTTTGTGAGAATCTCTTGTTTCAAATAGAGTTTTGGAGACCAGCAGACGGAGTAATGGTTAATGCCACTGGACTTCCACGTAGTTGACCGCTGTTTGGGTCCTGGACCCAAAGGCTTAAAACTCATGCCTAGCACTTGTGTGTGTGTGTGTGTGTGTGTGTGTGTGTGCGCTCTGAATCCTGAGAGGAGAGTGAAGAAGAGATTGTGGTATGGCCATCCCTCTAGGGGGGTGGGTGATTTCTTGCTTTCTGCCTCTGTCTCTGTCTCTCTGGTGAGTGCATGTACCCCATAGGAAAAATCTCTCTTAAATAAAAAAATCAAATGGAGTTTTCCTGGACCCTCCTCCAAAGGAGGAGGTTAAGCAACAGAGCCCATGTGGAGAAGCCCCGGACTTGACAATTGCTAAAATCCTGCCTGTTCTAGATACAAGTTAAGGTGATTGCTGTTATTGATGGGAAAATGCATTCTGAAGCGCTGTATGACATCAGCAGACATAAGCAAACTTTAAGGACCTTATTCAC